TCTCGTATTGAAATGCCACATGAGCGTGGAGCAGATGATAATACACGAGAGTCAAAAATACGTTTGAAACGTGGTAGACCTGTTGGTTCTAAGGATAAAAATCCTAGAAAACGAAAGGAAATGGAAAAGCAAAATCCATCCAATACAACGGAAAGACCGGAAGAAATGAACCATGAGGTTGATAACAGTGTTGGACATCATGATTCTGAAGAAAATCATGAGATTTCTATTAACTACATTCACAATAGAAAAATATGGAATCGAAATAATGTGAATGGTGTCGATGATATTTTCTCGTACTTTGTGTCAAAAGAAGTAAATGAAGAAAGTGATGACCCTGAACCAAAATCTATCTCAGAATGTCAAAAGAGACACGACTGGATGAAATGGAAGGATGCAATACAAGCTGAGCTTGATTCTCTTAACAAACGAGAGGTATTTGGACCTATCGTAATCACACCTGAAGCTGTGAAACCTGTCGGGTACAAGTGGGTTTTCGTTCGGAAACGAAATGAGAAAAATGAAGTAATGAGATATAAGGCTCGTCTTGTAGCTCAAGGATTTTCTCAAAGACCTGGGATCGATTATGAAGAAACATATTCTCCTGTTATGGATGCAATCACTTTTAGATTTTTGATGAGTCTTACGGCTAGTCAGAATCTAGAAATGCGTCTAATGGATGTTGTTACAGCATACTTATATGGATCTTTGGACACTGATATTTATATGAGAATCCCCGAAGGATTTAAGATGCCAGAACTGTTAAGTTCTAAACCTAGAGAGTTATGTGCAATAAAATTACAAAGATCATTATACGGCTTAAAGCAATCTGGACGTATGTGGTATAATCGTCTCAGTGAACATTTAACTAAAGAAGGATATGTAAACAGTCCTATATGCCCATGTGTGTTCATCAAGAAAACGTCATGTGGGTTTGTTATTATTGCTGTATATGTTGATGACCTAAACATTATCGGGACTAAAGAAGAGATACAAAAGGCATCTGATTATTTAAAAGGAGAATTTGAGATGAAAGATCTCGGACAGACAAAATATTGTCTTGGTCTACAAATTGAGCATTCACATAAAGGTATATTTGTACACCAGTCTACATATACAAAAAGAGTGTTGAAACGATTCAACATGGACAAAGCAACTCCACTAAGTACTCCTATGGTCGTTAGATCATTAAATGTTGAAAATGATCCTTTTCGACCACATGAAGAAAATGAGGAGGTACTTGGCCCTGAAGTACCATATCTAAGTGCAATAGGAGCACTCATGTATCTTGCAAATTGCACTCGACCTGATATATCATTTGCAGTAAATCTTTTGGAAAGGTTCAGTGCATCTCCTACACAAAGACATTGGAATGGGATCAAACATGTCTTTCGCTATCTTCAAGGAACAATTGATTTAGGATTATTTTATCCTAACAATTCAAACGGAGAAATGGTTGGTTTTGCAGATGCAGGATATTTGTCTGATCCACATAAAGCTAGATCACAGACTGGATACGTATTCACAATTGGAGGAACTGCTATATCATGGCGATCCCAGAAACAAACACTTGTAGCCACTTCCTCAAACCATGCTGAAATAATCGCTCTCCACGAAGCAAGTAGAGAATGTGTCTGGCTCAGATCAATAAGTCAACACATCCTTTCAAGTAGTGGGATCAACGTCAATTCAGAACCGACCATCTTATATGAAGACAATGCAGCATGTGTCGCTCAAACAAAAGAAGGATACATCAAAAGTGACCGAACCAAGCATATTCCACCGAAGTTTTTCTCATATACTCAAGAACTCGAGAAAAAGAAAGAAATTGAAGTGAGATTTGTTCGATCTTGTGATAATGCTGCAGATCTCTTTACAAAGTCACTACCCACTACGATATTCAGAAAACATGTTTACAATATTGGAATGCGTCATCAACAAGAACTGTGAAGATCGTCTATTCGAGGGGGAGTTTCTGAGTTGTACTCTTTTTACCTTACTATGGTTTTTCCCACTGGGTTTTCCGAGAAAGGTTTTTAATGAGGCAACAGAAAATAAAAGACAGAAGATACTAATGATACTGGTCTCCAAGGGGGAGTGTTACAAAAGTCAATATCTTGCGTAAGAAAATTAAAGTGGAGCCCATATCATTTATTCATCACAGTAGAATTTGTCGAATTCTTCTTCTATATAAAGAGTGTATTGCTCTCATTTGTAAGTTACGAAAGGTATTACATCTTTCGTCTATCTCTTTCTATAATATACTTCTTTATGTATCTCTCTCTATTATTCAGTAATATATAGTTATATTTCATAACTAATGAAAATATATATATACGTATTATAAATAAAATAAAGTAATATAATTATAACACACGTGAAATTTAGAGTTTAACTCAAGAAGGATTTGAGAGATAGTGCTTAACCGCACCTCTTGATAGCTAAGTTAGGCAGTAACAAAACAAAAAAGGGTTGACTATCTATTTACTCACGAGAACTATAATATAGCACTAGATTCCCACCAAACTATGATTTCGTGCTAAATATCCATAATTTAAAAATTCTAAACTTATTTCTCCATGAACTAATAATTTCAAATCTATTTCTCTCCGAACTGATAATTCCAAACTCTATTCTCCACATACCATGGTTTTAGTTGGTTACTATTAATCAAATATTTTAAAACCGTTAAGTCTAACCAAAATTCATTTATCAAAAAATAATTTTTATTAAATAATTTATTTAGTAGAAATAAAAATTGTTCTTGCTGGAATTCAACGGTGTCGACATTGCTCTAGAACCCGTCAACGTTGTCATTCTTCTGGTTCCTTGCTGGAATTTAACTACTCAAGAGAGAAAAAAATTAATCAATTAGTTATTTCTCTCAAAATCTGAAACAATATTAAATTATTAAGCTAGAGTTTTATGCATATCACGAGGCTTGTTCTTCTTCGTCGAGTTTCTTTCGCCGTTGATGACCGCTGCACGCAACTTCAACCTCCAAGCCTCTGAAGGTACGTCGTCAAGAACTTTGCCAAGTATATCAGCGACTACGTCACCAAGTGCTTCAACACCTAACGCACACCAAGGACCCCAACGAGCACGTCAACACCAACGCACCACTTGATCACCATAACACAACGGACAACTCCGCTACACGCAACGTCACACCAATGTCATAACACTAAGACAGCTGAACACTCCGTCAGACACTACGTCAACACACAGCAATCACACAATGAAACACTCACAATTAAAATTCTTTTTCACTTTAATATATGGGTGCTTAGTCTTCTCATAAGGAACATCTCTCCTTATATAATAAATCTTAGACTTGTTCTCCAAATTCATTAAATGTTCCTTAATAAACTTCCATTTCTATATAAAGAAACTTTCTATTCTTCTCCAAATAATATTTTCTCTCCGATCTTTTCTATTTAGCTTAATGGAAAACATCCTTTTGTTTTCAATTTGGATATTTTCCTTCTTTTTCCAAGTTTCACTTATACATGCAATCACAATAGATAACCTTCTTGTAAGTAACTTCACATCTCAATGTCTTGATATACATCTTGATACACTTCTTGTAATACATCACAAATTACATTAGAACACTTTGAGAAATACATCTTCAATAAGCTGTAAAGAAGTATTCTTCTAACATATGCCACAGCCAAATATGGGGTCCCAGCCAAATATGGGGTCCTTGGTTCGTGTGTGCAGGACACTTGGACCATTGTTTCAAGCCGACGACTATTCTATTTATTTAACACGACTAAAAGGCACTAAAGTAATTATTTTTAACTGTTGTCTTTGGAAATTATTTATAATGTTCGTTATACATGTACTCTGGGAAATATTAAAAATAATCACCATTTCAATTGACACTTGAATGACATTGAGACTTGCAGAAAAAGGACCATAACATAAGTTCATATCTTATATATTAAAACAGAAGTCATGACTTGACTTCATGTGTGATTTTTTATAAAAATAGACTATTACTAGAAAGTTATGTTACATTAACTCTCTAATAATCTTATCATTATTATATCTTATGAAAAATCATATCTATAATAACAAAGATACCCTTAACAATTCGGTTTTGGTAAATTACCCCACACATTCCAACTTAGTCACGCAAAATATGTCAATTGATATAAGTTTAGGAATCTTCTATTATTTATAAGGAAATATGTCAATAATAGTTAAATGCATCCACAATATATTAACAAAAATCACAGATTCGTAATATGGAATATTTATATACCCTAACAAAATTTACACGCTATATATACTAGATAAATTAAATTCGATGTAAATTTTTAAATTTATATTGTTTAAAAAAAATTGTTTAAAAAAATCCTTTTTAATAAAAATCTTTATATTATTAATTTATGAAGCTATAAGTTTAGTTTTTAGCAAAAATTTCTTCGAAGTTTATATTATCTTTGCAAATTAAAATATACTAATATTTAATCAAGCTCTATTTATATTATTTTATCTAAAAATGAAATACTAATCTAATAAACAATAAAATATAGAAGAAGAAACAAACACATGTTTGAAAAACATGTATAATATAGAAAATTTGAAACAATCTATTTGATTAAAACACATATTATATAATATTATTATGTTTGAAAATAATTTACTATATCTATCGTAAATATGTGATTACTATAATATATATACCAATTTACAAGTGAAAAAAAAATGTTTATATAACTAACTATAAACAAATACAAACACCAGCGCGGTTGCGCGGGTCAAAATCTAGTATTATGTTAAAATACGTCGATAATATATATATAACGCATATTACATGTCAGCTTATTTAACTATCTCGATTTTCTTCTAAGAAGGGATAATGAGGGTGATTGGTTGGGTTGTAAGTAACGAATTTAGCTTTAATTTCTATCTACAACCATTTAAATCACCAATCATGTTTTAAGTAGTTTTTAAAGCTAAAGTCAAAAAAATGGAAAAGTGGTTGTAGGAATCCTATTTTCTAAAGCAAAAAGTTATTGCTGTAGGATTGTTGTAGGAATATCTTTCCTTTTATATTTTTTTTCATTTAATTTCTACAGCTACATTAGATACAACTACATCAAAAACATCTACAGTCTAAATTCTACAATAAAAATTTTAAATCTACAGTTCAACCAATCACCCCCAATATATTTTTTAGACAGAAAATAAAAAACCTACTAGAAGAACGCAATCTCTCTTAATTAGCAAAAAGCGACGCCTCATAGACTGAAGAAACCGCCTATTCCGTCGGAGGAGCTAAGTTAAGATCCAAATCCAACGGCTGAGATTTCCTCTCAGCTCCACCTTCGAAATCAACGACCGAAGACGAATCAGACTCGCTCTGGACCCCACACGTAGCAGCGGGTTTGAACGCCTTCACGTTAAAGAAGTAAACAGGACGCGCAACGGGAATCTGATAACACGCGCCGCCATTACCTAAGCTGAGCTCGAGCTGCGGAGGCGTAACCAATCTCGCCGCCGTGGGAGAGGTGGAGTAGACGGTGCTACTCTGACTAGGACTACGTGAGTAGCCGCCGTCGTTCACGTTAGGCTCTAGAAACGTCGGGAAATTCGTCTTAGCTTTACTGCCGTGAAACTCACGCGCTGCAGCGTCATAGGCACGTGCCGCCTGCTGAGCAGTGTCGAACGTTCCTAGCCATACACGAGTTTTCTTACGTGGATCTCGGATCTCCGCCGCGTATCTCCCCCATGGACGTTTCCTCACGCCTCTGTAACGAATCTCTTTCGCATTATTCTGGATCGGATTTGGTTTCGGGCCGGGTTTCAAACACACCAACTTCATCATGATAATCAGAGAAAAAGAGAAGATCGATGAAAGAGTTTTGAGGAAAGTAGTGTTTTTTTTATAGAGAGAGAGTATAAGTGAAGGGTCCTTTTAGGGTGCTTTCCTGTGAACAGTCAAAGACATTATTACAGAGTATCAGTGTTCCGGGTTTTCTTTTTGTCTTATCCATTTGTGTAGAGCCATGTGTTCACTGCTTTTCTGCAAAAAAAAATTATTTATATAATTTGATTTTAAAAAATATTTCGTACACAAATCACAATACATTTAACGAAATACAGTATGATTATAGGTACGATTGATATCTATTGGTTTAGATGTCCCTACAATTGCTTGTTGACTATCAATAAACTATAATACAGTTGGTTTGAAACTTGGGAGTTTACTAAAATAAAACAAAAATTCAACATCTTTGTCCATTTATTATAAAACCAAATTATCCTATTTTTAGCATAATTATTTTTCCATTTATCAAATTTAATGAAATAATTAGTTTTATGAATCAAAAACTAATTTTATTCTTTTTTTTAGCATAATAATCTTTTTATTTATCAAATTTAATGAAACAAATAGTTTTATGAATCAAAAAATTAGAAAAAATAAAAAATTGATAAAATACTCATATACGCAAATTGATCTTTTTAATTTATCAAATTTAATGAAATAATTAGTTTTATGAATCAAAAAATAATTTTATACTCTTTTTAGCATAATTATCTTTTTATTTATCAAATTTAATGAAACAAATAGTTTTATGAATCAAAAAATTAGAAAAAATAAAAAATTGATAAAATACTCATATACACAAACTGATCCTTTTCATTTATCAAATTTAATGAAATAATTAGTGTTATGAATCAAAAACTAATTTTATTATCTTTTTAGCATAATTATCTTTTTATTTGTCAAATTTAATGAAACAAATAGTTGTATGAATCAAAAAATTAGAAAAAATAAAAATTGATAAAATACTCATATACGCAAACTGATCTTTTTCATTTATCAAATTTAATGAAATAATTAGTTTTATGAATCAAAAACTAGTTTTATTCTCTTTTTAGCATAATTTCTTTTTATTTATCAAATTTAATGAAACTAATAGTTTTATGAATCAAAAATTAGAAAAAAATAAAAAAAAAAAATTGTGAAAATACTGATATACACAAACTGATTTTATTTTTGTAAAAATGGTTAAATTAAAAAATAATTATGTTATATGAAAAAGAAGATGTCATCTTCTAAGAATAATATAATGGTAGAAATTGAATTTCAAATTAAACAAGTTATTCTATTTTCTCTAGAACTAATAATCTACTTTTAAATAGAATTATAATATGAGAAATGTGAAGTTTACACATTTTAGAGATAGGTATATTTATTCAAATGCAGCTTGTGAGGAATTCTAAAGTTCTATGAATACGAAATCTAGACATAATTCAAATTTTACATATTATAAAATGTGCTTACAAATTAGTTGTTTATTCTGTACACTATGTAAAAACTATATTCTACCAATAAAATTAACCATGTTTTCTAAATTTCTGTTAAAAAATATTCTAAAAATATTTAGAAATCTTTGTACTTTCCTAATTCGTGTTTCAACGATTTTTTCTCAAAAGATTCAAAATTAAAAATATTTTTTTTAAACAAACATTATACTAATGAGATAAAATTAAGAATTTTTATACTAAAGGGACAAAGATGCTGAGTTTTTGTTATATTTTGACAAATTTCCTTGAAACTTCCATATGTATATGATTTCAGGTAAATGAGGTTCTAAATGGTGACGGGATGAATGATTAGGAATGATAAATTCTCATTCTTTCCTTAAAATATATAAATTTATAAGAAATATTTTTTACATTTATAAATCTATAAGAAATATTTGTTACACATAATTTTCTTGGAAAAAAGTAAATAATATATATTTCTTTTATTCTTATTATTTTGTTTTTATTTATTTATTTTATTCTTTCTTCTTATTGTTTTTAGTAGTTACCTATTAAAGTCAAATGATTTAAATGTCAACAAAATAAAGAAAAACTCTAACACATCTCTCATATGTTACATATATGGTAAGTGGTAGAAAGGTGAATAATAAAACTATATCAGCATGTGTTTAAAAATGAAATCTTACCAAAAATCATTATCTCAGATGGAAATAAACATGATCACTGTGTTTAGATTCGTAGTTTGAATGACCAATAAGACGAAACTAATATTATATGAATTATTTCAGATTTTGGTGTCAGAATTGTGTAAATCTGAAATGTAGTAAAAGATAGATTTTTGAGAAATGAAGAACATGAAAAACAAGAAAGAAAGAGAGAAAGGGAGATTTCAAAGAGAGGAGAGAGAAGGAGAGAATACTTTCTTTAGATTCAATAAGAGTTCAACATTACAACTATATAGATATTTCTAAATCTACAAATTCAAAATAAAGAAGATCTGAACGTTTTGGGGACTGCCCACGAACACCGGTAGCGATCCACCATAGGTGATAAAGTCCATGAAGGTACATGTCTCTCCTTAGTCACTGAGACCGGTAGCGACCCACCGTAGGTGACAAAGTCCTTGAAGGTACATGTCTCTCCTTAGGCACTGAGACCGGTAGTGACCCACCATAGGTGGAAAGTCCCCAAGACAAGCAACCCTTATAAAACTCTAACATAACTCTGCTTCATGTCAACACTCCCCCTCAAGTTTGACCATGTGGAACAAGTCAAGCTTGGAAGTCATAAAGCATTCCCTCATGAAAACCTCAGTAAGGTAAAACCTCATGGGATAAAACCCAAGCCAAGGAAAAAGAGTAGAACACTTCATGAAGGGAAGATCATTGACATGTGAGGTCTATGAGTCCAAGCTTTGGATGAATGAACTCACAGACTTTGCTGCTTGTGGTCTTAGTAAATATGTCAGCCAATTGATCTTCACTTCTGGTGTAGCATGGAAGTATCATTTGTTGTTCCACTGCTTGTCTCACCTTATGACAATCTACTTCTATATGCTTTGTCCTCTCATGGAATATTGAGTTAGATGCAATGCGTATAGCTGCCTGATTGTCACAATGCATTGTCATAGGTGTAGTGATCTCTATACCCAAGTCCCTTAGCAGTCCCTTGATCCATATGAGTTCACTAGTTAGCTTTCTCATAGATTGGTACTCTGCCTCAGCACTTGAACAAGACACCAATTTATGTTTCTTGCTCTTCTATGTGACCAGATTCCCTCCAATGAAGGTGCAATAACCGGTTGTTGATCTCCTATCAACTTTGTCTCCAGTCCAATCAGCATCACAATACCCAACCACTTCAGTACTCTTATTACACGCCATCCACACACCTTGTCCAGTAACCTCTCTTAGGTACCTTAGGATCCTATCCACCATATTCTAATGATGAAACTTTGGTGCTTGCATATGTTGGCTAGCTTGATTCACAGCAAAACAGATGTATGGTCTTGTGATGGTGAGATAGATTAGCTTTCCAACCACCCTTCTATACTTCTTGACATCTTCAAAGGGTGTATCTTCATACTCCCCCTCTCGCAATACCTTGTAGCCTTCTTCCAATGGTGTCTTGGCTTGTCTATTTCCAAGGTTTCCTGCCTCATTTAAAATGTCAAGTGTGTATTTTCTTTGGGATAAAAACAGACCCTCCTTGGAGCGACATATTTCAATCCTTAAGAAGTACTTCAATTCTCCCAAATCTTTGATGTCAAAAGCAGTTTTAAGAAAGCTTTTGGTTGAGGTGATACCTTCTTTGTCACTACCAGTGATGATGATATCATCTAGATAGACTAGGATTACAATAATCCATTTCTTGCTAGTGAGTGTGAAGAGGGTGTGATCAGCTTGAGACTTCACAAAACCTCTTCCATTCAATATTGTACTCAGCTTATGGTACCAGGCTCTTGGAGATTGCTTTAAGCCATAAATCGCCTTCTTCAACCTTAGAACATTTCCTGGTTTGACCATGTCCTCCAGTCCCGGTGGCGGTCGCATATACACTTCATCTTCCAACTCTCCTTGAAGAAAATCATTCTTGACATCCATCTGCCATAAGTCCCATTCCAAGTTCACGGCCAGAGAGAGTAATATCCTTATAGTATGCAGCTTGGCCACTGGTGCAAAGGTGTCTAGGCAGTCTTCTCCATAGACCTGAGTGTACCCTCTTGCAACCAACCTTGTCTTCTTCCTTTCTGGTTTTCCATTAGCTCCATACTTTATGGTATATAGAAGACGACTTGTCACAGCTTTCTTGTCTTTGGGAAGCTCAGTTTCAAACCATGTATCATTCTTGATCATGGCACCAACCTCATCTTCAACAGATTCTCTTCATTCGTCATGTTGCATAGCTTCTTCATACGATCTTGGTATCCATTCCTGATCCAATTCACTGATGAAGACTTGATGATGCTCTGGATATTGAGCTAGAGAGCAAACTCCACTTATTGTATGAGCCACTGCATTGCTGTTGAAATACACTTTGGTGTCGACCCACTTGGATGGTTTCTTCACTCGAATACTTCTTCTCAAAGGTTGAATCTGTTGCTCATCTACCAATGCCTCTTCCTGGCCTTGTTCTCCACGACTCTGATCTTCACTAGACTGATCAGGTTCAGCTCCATCTTGATCTTGTGTTGCGCCTGAATCATCTTCTTGTTGATGTATTTGCTGTTGTGATTCAGGTTCATTGCCTCCTTCAGGATCATGATGGACTGTTTCTACACTTGGTGCAACTTCATCAACAACTAGAGGCGTTTGAGACGTTTGTGGTGCTTCACGGGTCTGAGGTTGGCAAATGTCTAAGCTTTCGAGAATAATTCTCAAGTTATTTGCTCTATCTGAAGGTCCTTCTGAGAGATCTTGAAGATTTTCCCAACTCTTCTCATCATAATACCCTTTTGATTCCACAAACTTCTCGTCTCTTGAGACAAGTACTCTTCTTGACTATGGATCATAACATTTATACGCCTTCTGAGTTGGAGAGTAACCAATGAACATTGCCTTTGAGCTTTTAGCATTAAGCTTATTCATGAGCTCCCCAAGTATCATCACAAAACAGAGACAGCCAAACACATGCATGTGGTCCAAAGATGGCTTGGTCTGATTTAGAACCTCAAATGGTGACAAGTCGTTGAGAACTTTAGTTGGAGTCCTATTGATCAG